AAACAAAGAGTTCATTAAATCACACAAATGACACTTTAATAACAATAGCAAATACTTTCGTTTGTTATACATGATCAATTGCCTTTTTGTAGTACATTTACACAAATATAACAGTTTTGATAACAGCCTGACAAACAAAGAGAACGAGACAGACATGCGTCTGACAGCTTTCAACGCCCAATCTCTATTTAATATGCCACAACAATCAAAACAGGCCACAAGAGAATAGGCATATTAAAATAAAATATGTATTCTATAGATGCACATAAACATATATATAGATATATATACGATATACATACACATATAGCGATTGGCACAAATCTTTTGTAAATGTTTTTTTTTTTCTGTAATTTATTTGACATTTTGACAATTTGAAAACGAGAAAAAATGCGAGCAAGAAAAGTGAAAATAAAAGCGTGTGAAAATGGAAGCGACCATGGGGCATACAAAAGGACGTAAACACAACAGCGTTGAAAGGCAACAGTCGCAACATGCACACACACATCTCGCACACACTCGCACACACACACATGCACAACAAATACTACACTACCTAGAGGCAACTCGGACCTGCCTGCTAGGCGCTAATGTTGAATTAAACGAACGCTGACAGCGAAATAAACAAAGGACCGACCGCTGCGGCGGTCGCGAAACAAGCGCCGGATTTATATGCCGCACATGTTTGAGTGTATAGTGTGCATGTGTGTGCACTCATACATATGCATATGTGTTTGCGCATATTTATGATAAATTGCCGCTGTTAGAATACGTGTCGCTGACATTTTGGCGCCTGCAAAAACGAATTCCAAGCGCGTGAAAACCTCAGCCTAAAAAACAAGAATGTATATAAAAAAGCAAATTTATATTTTTACATATATATTCATTTATATATATATACAACATATGCGTATCTGGTGGCCAAAACAAAAAAGCAAAAATGCAAAAAAAAAGTCTGTCAGCTCAAACGTTTATATGACATTTTAATAACCCAACAAACTGGCATTATTATTGAACGTTCAAAATGATTTCGTAATGCAAAGTATTTCAGATATTCAAGTTATTCTGTAGGGAAAAGCCCGTTTACTGTCGACTCTCGAACGTAAGCTGGCATTCGAATTTATTGGTGAGACCCAAAAAACGAAAAAGTATTCGAAAATGCGAGTAAATATGGAGCAAAAGATCTGTTGGAGCCGCACAGGCTTCTAGCTAAGCTTTATTGTCTGCGCCATTTGCCGGTTGGCTGTTTAACCTGTTTGCGGAATCGAGAGTGTGGAGAGTCTAGATTTTGTTGCCCAAGTGCCGCAATGAAGGGCATCATCATGCTGCCACTACGTGAGTGTATTTGCCTGGGCTTCAGCCAATGCGTATGTGTGTGTGTACGAGTGCTGCAAATGTAGCCGTAAAAGCGCTTTTACGTAATGCGACGCTGTCGCTGCGGCGGCTCCCAAATGAATTTCATTTCATTTCATCTCGTTTCGTACGTGTGCCTCTTAGCCTTGAAGTTGAATTTAAATGCCCAAGTCAGAACTTGTTAAAGCCAAAGCTACATGCTAGCAAGCCGAGCCGCATGGATTAGACAAAAACACACAAACTGTCGTGTTCCTTGAAAGGAAAACACACAGATTCGGTGATGTGCACTGCGGGCTTACAAGCCAGTTGATGTTGTGGCTTAAAAGCAGATAAACAACGAGCTGTAGCAGCTGGTTTACAGTATAACAGTTATTCCAGCTTGTGCC